TTACCATGAAAAACTACGTAAGTAATTTTTCTTAAAACAGTAAAAATACTTGTATATTCTTTTATTTAATTCAAGTCATCTAACAATTACATTATTTACAGTTATTGAATATCAAGGTGAATAGCAAAGATTAATACATATATATTCTCTCAGAAGCGTACGAATTTCTCAACAAGATCAATAAAGTCCTGGCCAGCGCAGTAATACTTGGCCAAGTGGTCTAGAATTTCATAAATTTGGTACAAATCCCCTTGTTCTTTATAACTGGTTGCCTCCAAGATGCCCAGGAGCAAAGAAAATGATTTTTAAAGCGTTAATGCATTTCGATTTCAAAGAAATAATTTGAGCTATATAATCAATAGAGACTTTCCCCACCACCAGAACCTCTATCCCAGGACCACCAATTTAGCAATTTTGTAAGAGACACCGTAATCATGCATTTAATTAATCTACTAAATACCCAGGGTAAGAGAAGATTTCTAAAGAATTTATGCATTTTCACACTATGATCAATAGAGTCCCTCTCTAACACCAGAATCACAGACCCAGGGGACATGAATTTGAATTTTTTTTTACTTAATACTCAGGAGAAGATTTTCAAATAAATAATTCATTTACACTTTATTATCAACAGAGCCCCGCCGAAACACCAGAGCACTGACCAAGAGGCCATGGAATACTCAATTTTGGAAGAGGCATCCTTGCTCATGAAAACAATGCACTTGATTTCTTAGTTAAATTATCAGGAGCATAGAAGGTATTCAAACATTAAATATGTTTTTACTAAATGATCAATAGAGCCTTACCCCTACCCCAGAGCCCCTGCCCCCAGGGCCAGGGCCAGGAATTTCACAATTTTGGAAGAGGTATCCCTGCTCGTCATCACCATGTGTTGCTAAAACAACGACATCTTAACTACATGTACTAGTCATATCTTAGTATTAATAGAACACTAATGTTCTGTTGTGTGAGTTTTATGCTTTAACACTTTGTTCTTATTGTGACGCTAACACTAATGGTCTATTGTGAGAGTATTATGCTTTAACACTGTGTTCTTATTGTGCACTAACACTAATTGTTGTTTGAATTTAATGCTTTAACACTTTGTTCTAATTGTGACAGCATTACTAATGGTCTGTTGTGCGAGTTTTATGCGTTGACATTGTGTCCTTACATTTTGAAATACATGTATCGGCCACCAACCATTTTACAGTTTACGTCAATAATCTTCTTCTTTTTTTTCTTTTTTTTTGGAATTCATTTCATTCTTAACTTCCATTTATTAAACCTTTGACATGAGAAGGATATACAACCACGTAATCAAATTTGCAGAAGAGAAATTTTATTGATTATAAAAACTGAGAAAGTTTAAATATTGAATATATTGGCAGAAATTAGCAGTGTACCTCTCTGTAAAAGTATACTATTGTGTTCTTTCTTTGCTCTCTAGTTTTGAAATCTTATGCTGAATGAGTATGATCCTGGGGGAGAGAATGAGGGAGAGACAGTTTTCAATAATTTTGATATATTTATTCCGTGTATTTCACATAAAACTTCACATAAATTAACTTCTCATTTAAATTTACAGTTGATTACATTTTTACATTTCAAAAACTACAAGTTATCCAAGAACAACTTAGAAAGGAAAATTAGTTATCTGTAAATGAAAAGCTTATTAATTTCCTACAGGTAAAAAAAGACTCGATTTTGAAAATTTGAGCCAGACATATATATGCATAAAAATGCTTGAATTTGAGAAATACTGCAGACAAGAAATACATATCTGACTGAATAAAATCAAAGACAATTTTCATGCAAAACAAAAGCACTTCTCCAGATACTTGTACATATTAACTTTCTTGAGGCAATAATATTTTAAGATTAAGAATCTGAAAAATATTTTGTTTTACATAATTTTGTCGAAAAACGCAAACATTATGAACATTATCATTAAGTATATCTCTATAGAGAGAAAAATTTTACAGTCAATACAAAAAATAAACCTCAAAATAATTAGCACTGTTTTTGTCAGGTTGAAGTAACCTGGCCAGGTAAGTAGTTGAAAGCCTAGAGTTTAATAACGAGAGTTGCCTGAAAGAGACAATCTTCCATTCATTCATTCTATAATATATAAAATTGTTTTCTTAATTGATTATTATTGCAGGTACAAATTAGATGTTTAAAACATACTTTTATCTCGTTTTTCTTTAATTTGTTTAATTTGTTCCTTTAATTTATATAGTATATCGCATTCCTTTCTTGTCTATGAATGTGTTCAAATGGAAGTTTCCAATTAAATTTCTCTTTAGTTTTCCGATCAGTTCATGTCAAAATAAGGAAAAAAAAAATATAAAAAAAATTCATACAAAAGGGATAAGCTCTCGAAAACCTTTTGCACAAATCACTTCCCTGAAAACATCGTTTCAATATTACTTTTTAGGTCCCCTGAGTCACTCAGGTGACCTATTGCTATCCGTTTTTGTCCGTCGGCGTGCGTCGTGCGTCGTGCGATGTGCGTTAACATTTGAACATTTTTAGCTTCTTCTATGAAACCGCTCAGCCAATTTCAACCAAATTTGGCATATAGCATCTATGGGTGAAGGGGAACAAAAATTGTGAATTTTATGATCCCTGCCCCCCTGGGGCCTGAGGGGTGGGGCTAAAACCACTAAAATTAATGCAATCTTAAAAAATCTTCTTCTTTACTCCTGGACATCAAGCAGTCAAACTGTTGGCATGATTGTAATAAGCATTGACCCCTCTACCAAAATTGTGAAATTCATGGCCCCAGGGTCAGGGGTTCTGGTGCTAGGGAGGGGTTATATAGATTATATAGTGAAAGTGCATTATTTCTTTGAAAATCTTCTTCTCTGCTCCTGGGTATTAAATAAACAAAGTATATAGTTATGATGAGTAAGAGTGCCTCTTCCAAAAATGTGAAATTCATGGCCCCAGGGTCAGGGGTTCTGGTGCTAGGGCGGGGCTCTATTGATTATATAGTGAAAATGCATTACTTCTTTGAAAATCTTCTTCTCTGCTCCTGGGTATTAACTACAGTAACTAAGTACATAGTTATGATAAGCAAAAGTGCCTCTTCCAAAATTTTGAATTTCATGGCCCCAGGGTCAGGGGTTCTGCTGTTGGGGGGGGGGGGGGGGCTCTATTGATTATATAGTGAAAATGCATTAATTCATTGAAAGTCTTCTTCTCTGCTCCTGGGTATCAAATAAAGTAACTAAGTACATAGTTAGGATGAGCAAGAGTGCCTCTTCCAAAATTGTGAATTTCATGGCCCCAGGGGCAGGGGTTCTGGTGTTAGGGCGGGGCTCGAAAATGCATTAATTCTTTGAAAATCTTCTTTTCTGCTCCTGGGTATTAAATAAAGTAACTAAGTACATAGTTAGGATGAGCAAGAGTGCCTCTTTCAAAATTATGAATTTCATGGCCCCAGGGGCAGGGGTTCTGGTGTAAGGGCGGGACTCTATTGATTATATAGTGAAAATGCCTTAATTCTTTGAAAATCTACTTCTCTGCTCCAGGGTATTATTGAAACAAATTAATTACATAGTTTTGATAAGCAAGGATGCCTCTTCCAAAATTGTGAAATTCGTGGCTCCTGGATCAGGAGTTCTGGTGTTAGAGCGGGGCTCTATTGATTTAATGTGAAAATGTTTTAATTCTTTAAAAATCTTTTTCTCTGCCGCTGGGTATTATTCAAACAAACTAAGTACATTGTTATGATAAGCAATGATGCCTCTTCCTAAATTGTGAAATTCATGGCCCCGGGTTCTGGTGCTAGGGCAGGGCTATATAGATCCTGTAGTGAAGGTGAATTATTTCTTTGAAAATCTTCTTCTCTGCCCCTGGATATTGTTTAAACAAACTAAGTACATTGTTATGATAGGCAAGGATGCCTCTTCCAAAATTGTGAATTTTATGACCCCAGATTTAAGGGTTCTGGTGGGGGGGGGGGGGGGGGCTTCTATTGATTATAAAGTGAAAAAGCAAAATTTATTTGAAAATATTCCTTTCTGGTTCTGGTTAAAAAAGCAATGAAGCTAAGTGTATAGTTATGATGAGCAAGAGTGCTTCTTCCAGAGTAGTAAATTTCATGACCCCTGGGTCAGATGTGCTGGTGTGAGGGTGGGGCTCTTGATAATATAGTAAAAATGCATTAATTCTATGAAATAATCCTGTTTGCTCCTTGGTGTTAAGCAGATAAACAAAGTGATTAGTTATGATGAGCAAACTTATGGTCCCAGGGTCAGAAGCTCTGGTGTTGGGGGGGGGGGGGGGCTCTATTGATAAAATAGTGAATCTGTAGTAAAAATGCATTATTTCTTTAAAAATCTTCTCCGCACCTGGGCATATCAGAGGCAAAAAGAGTAAAAGTTTTAATAAGGAAGATTATTTTTACCAGATTTTTGAACATCTGGACCATTTGGTCAAGTGTTCTGGTCCTGGCCAGGGCTCTATTATTTTGTATTCTACTGAGAGGAGTTATTCCCCTTTGCCATTTACTTTTGATAATTTATCACTGTAAATAATGTACTTGAAAGGTAAATAGAATAAGATAATTATGCAAAAACTTTTATTGTATAATACAAAAAGTACTTTCATAGTTTTATTGATCAGATAGACTTGTAAGTAGTAGATAAATAAAAATGAGACAAAAATAACTTGTATTATCAAATGTTCATCAAGGACCAAGAGAGGCCAATGTAAGAAATTTCAACAAAGGATTAATATAGTACAGAAGCATTGATAATTTGTTAATATACTGTATGGTGATAGTGATAAATGGGGATCAGATTTATAGAACATAATTTATAAACTGTTAATGAATATTAAGACCAATTATTTTGTTGATCATGATCACCCTATTTTTCTTGCTTTTTGGCAACAAAGTTTCACCTTTCAGTTCATTTTATACTCTATGCATCCTTTAAATTGTTGTATCATACTCAGGTGACCGTTAAGGCCCTTGGGCCTCTTGTTGGTTAATATGTACCTGTAGTACTTCGTAAATTATAGGATGAAAGTCGACTTGATCGTCGCGTTTGTAGGTCTGACTGCCACAGTACAGTAACATGGCGTCTGACCTTTGGACTGTAAAGGAAATAAATGATGGGATTGACCGAAAGGTTAAATAACCATATGACTCGTGCAAAAATTTGAATCACTTTGCTTTCACGTTCGCTGAGCACTTTGAAAAAGTTCAAAGAAAATATTATAGGAAATATAATAGCAGAGAAAATGTAAATCACCATGATGATCAAAATCATGGCGGACATCCTTCGAAGGTATTGACTTATTCTGAATCCACTAATAGACGTCCTTAATTTATATAATTTTATCATGTGAAAAACTAACATAAAAATACAAGGAACCAGGAAAAGATAACCCCTGAATACCAGTACGACAATGGCGATCTTGTCTTTAGCCACGTGAAATCTTGCAAAATAATAAATCACTCCAAACACCACGCTGAAAATCCACATGAAAATTGATAACGTCAATACATGACGTTTTCTGATCGTCATTGCCCGGAGAGGCACAGCTATCAAATAATATCGTAGTCCAAGCAACAGCACAACATGTGATGCCGACGCATGCGCTGTAATATAGATTACCGTCATTAAGATATGACCATGATTATCTACAAGGTTTTGGCTAGTTGTTGCAAGAATCAGATGGCATAGATATTGGATCAGAGACACAGTGTCCGCTATTGCTAACGCTCCTATGACCATGTAGGTGGGTTTGTGAAATTGTTTCACACGGATTATAATTACAATTGTTGTCAGGTTAGCAAGTATTCCGAAAGCTGTTAAGATAACTAATATAAGTAGTCCTGACAAATCTTCACCTTCTAAGTGCACAGGAATAATGAACCGGGTCTCCTCATCAATAAATGGCTTTTGTACCGATGAAGATATTGTATTGGAATTGTTGAGCATAAAGTCGCCCGCTTCCTGAAATTTCAAATATAGTAAATTTTAAACGGAACAGCTGCTGAAAAAGTTTGAAATTTGTTGTTACACAATAGAAAACAGACTCAAATTTAATCTTCTAAGTAAGCAATTTATTATCAAAAGGAAATGTATTTCTTTTTTATCCATCTCACTCTGAATGGATACTTAGAAGAAAAGAAAAGTTTCTTCGAACGAACAAACAGTTTCAAAGAACACGTTAACATTGATTGAGAACTTCTATCAGTTTTTACTGGACTTCTCTTTTGGTAATTCAGAAAATTGAAAAAAGACATACTTGTACAGTAAAACTTGTTTAGTATGGACTAGAATGTTAAGAACACTTTGTCAGGCAAATCTCGGGTCTAAGCTATCCTTACGAATCATATCTCAACAATGTATCATATTTTTACTTTATTTCTATGTTTGATTGCAGATATATGTATAATATAAAAACATGTAGTTCATCAAAACTATTTCATCCATGTCAAATATCAAATGATCAAGAGAAATAGTAGAAAAAGAATTTAATGAAATTAAGGAGAGAAAAAAAGCCTAGGGCACAATAGTGATAACTATGTACATGTATTTGTACGTATGAATTTGGTATACTGTGGAATCATTAGATTTGGTGGTGGCTCAGTTTTCTTGGAATTCCTCCACGAATTAATAAACTATGGTTACAAAGTCATATTTCCTTTTGAAGGTACATGTAAAGAGAATACACGAAATAACGTCACAAAGGACCTGCTAAATTTAAGCAATCCAAGAAAATTGGCCCCAAGAATTTGAATGATTCCACTGTAATTTTTTTATATAGTTGATATTGGCTATGAAATATACAAAAAAGTCAAAAATAGATTTATAAAATAAATCTTACCCTTTGGTACATGCATATCATGCCTTAAAAAAAAATAATGTAACCACTAGAATAATGGCCAGATACAATCACTATCTGCTCAACACGCAAGCGACACAAAGGAAACTAACACCGGAGGATGCAACACAGAGAGACTGGGACTGTCTGAGTTTCCAAGAAGAGAATGAAAATCCAAAGCTTTTATAAAAAGCAACTCAGATGTCATCATTAGTAGGAATGAAATTCTAGATATAAATTTTAACATATAGAAAAATACAATAGATGTAAATTATTCAAAATTGATGGATATATCTGTTTTGGAACAATTCAATAACAGTTACTATAAATTTTACTTCCTGTTGAAGTTCGTAAAAACAACAGCAATTTTATAAATAATTGAATGTTTCATGATGCATCGACCTGCCACTTACACTATTTCTGTTTTCGAACAAATCGATTACTATATATAAAGCTGGGACTGTCTGAGTTTCCAAGAAAAGAATGAAAATTCAAATTTTTATAATAAGCGAATCAGGTGATATCATTTGTAGGAATGAAATTTTAGAGATAAATTTTAACTTTTAGAAAAATACAATAGATGCAAATTATTCAAAATTGATGAATATTTCTGTTTTGGAATAATTCGATTACTATGAATTTTACGTCCTGTTAAGCTAATGAAAACAACAACAATTTTATAAATAATAGAAAGTTTCATGATGCATCGACATGCCTCTTACTAAACATTTACCCGAGACCCCTGTCCTCTGTGTAGTTTTTTTAATGTCAACATGGATTATTCATTGTTCTCTTTATCTGAACTAGAAACAATTTTTCTTTCCAATGGAAAAGAAAGAATCGAGAAGGGCTTCTTTCAGGTCTCTATTCTTTTATATTGTTTATGTATATATATTAATCATGTTTTCGATAACTCCTAATATGAAAATATGAAAATATCCTATGCTTCCAACCTTGAATATTTATTCCGTCTCCTCAACACTTCCGTTGAGAAGTAGAGATCGGCGGGCCTAAGAATGACCGTGTATATCCATGTAATTTACGCCGAAATTTGTCCCAATCTACCCAAGGTATATTAAGGTATATAGTGGCAATCTAAGAAATCCACTTAACTTTCTATCCACGGATTTGACCCCATGGAAAAAAGTACATTTACAATAAAGTAATGGTAAGTAAACAAGGAACGTTATCCAGTTGCATTTTTTGATGGCCGGTCAATACAGTAGTAAGGAATCAATGTCTTTAACCTTTAAAGGAAAGACTTACAGTTATTCAGCAGCCGGTAGAGCACGGGACCAGCCTTCTTTTCTCTGCGTATAGTATTTTGCTATTCGATAATTTTCATTTACATGTAGATGCTGGTTACCCCTTTTTCCCACCACCACTCATTTTTTTGCTTTTAGGTTGAACGCTTGCCAATTAGAGGATTTGAAAAGAAAATGTACCAAAAAGTAAGAGAAAGCCTCCCCCCCCCCCCGCACAAAAAAGGATTTACTAGTTTGCACTTGTCAGATTTTTTGGGAGGTTGGCCACCCACATGTAAAACTGTTGCTACGCGCCTGTTCAGCTCATGAACAAAGTAACTTTTTGGAAGGTAGAAAGAGCGAGAAATTAGCCCGAGGTTCTTTCAAACCCAACATCCCGTTTATCTTGTTGAAGTCACTGTGTGTCTGTTATGAAGAAAATATCAAAATAGCATGATTTCTATAGTTCTTGTATCTTTAATCGATCATCACTTACGTGTTGCTGTAAATAACTCTTTTCCGTGCAACATGGCGTCATACTTGACAAATTGTTGCTGATTAAGAACTCCAAGGCGTAAAGTAAACGTTCTTGCTTTATTTTGCTTTACACGTGCTCAATGAGGAATTGAGTTCTTTGGTTCATAACAGCTTTCCCTGCGTAAACTTTATTATTCCATTAAACGGAAGGTTACCAATTAAAATTGTTTACTTTTAAAATAGACTTGAGGGTTCAAAGGTCATATATAAATATATATTTGTGGAAAAGCTTGTCCGCCGATTTCGGACCTAACAAGGTGATTTTAAACACCTCATGTCTACCTTTACTGGAAAAGTGAATACAAAAGAGTACATTTTTTCAGGTAAAACATTAAATAAAGTTAAAACAACAATCTATCAATTGTACACGTAAATATATGTGGCGAGAGAGACATAATAGGATATTCTGTCTTTAGTGGAGATTTTTTTTTTAAATCTCTTTAAGGTTTTTTTCCAATTTATTTTCAAAGTTGCCATAGTTGGGACTTTTCTGCGCTCCTTTAATACCGCATTTTTTTCTTTTGTTTTTTGAATTAAAAATGAATAGTGAAATATTATATTTCTGTTGTTAAATTTTTTTTATAATTATAAGTCCAGCATATATTGAAATTAAGTTGACCGAAAGATTAACATTTAAACTTTTTTTGAATTACTGTACAACCAGGAGGGGGAAGGGGTGTTAAAAGGAAAGATAAATTATAAGTAAACACGAAACGAAATATTTTATATACAATCCACTACCCTATTAGAAAAGTTACACGACAAATAAACTATATATAATACACATGTATTAGATCATAAATGACAGATAAACCATTCTAAACTGTTTTAAGATTTTTTTTTTCAAATCATGAATAGATGTATGTAAATAAATAATTATATAATTGATGTTTTAAAAAAAATCTGTACTTCTTAACTGCTTCTTATTCATATAAAATTTCTGTTTAACCATGGTCAAGTTTCATAACATTTGAATACTTCCCACATGTAGATATTAATTACCATTCAAAAGAAAAGGCGGGTAATTGCTTTAAAACTTGCAGCAAACTGATAATTGACTGACGTTAATTATACAGACGTTGAAATATTGATTATACGTATTTATTTATATAGTATTATTAGTTCATGTTTTATTTTTTTTAATTTGATATATCGACAATAGTACCAGAAGAGTTATCACTCTTTATTTGGTTGAATCCACTTCCATTTGTTCTGAAAAGTCCAGTAGATAGGCGATATCAGGAGATCCCAAACCTTCCTCATAGACCTGTTCAAATCACAACTGTTTCACGACTCATAGGTCTTGTGCTAACCTATCTCCATAAGTTCTCTCTCTCTCTCTCTGTTTTAATTTGCTTTGAGTCGAGATCGGTCAGAAATAACCAATCACCAATTAAAACATTAAATACACTGTTGTAAACAGGTAAGATGAATATTCACAAAAACTACAGATTCTAAAGAAAGCGGATTTTCTTACCGGGATGGGACATGAAAATGCAAATTTCGATGATGCACTTTGAAATAATGTCTTTACAGCTGTATACAGTTAACGGAGCACAAAACCTTTAATTGAATTATATCGTGATAAATATCTCAATTAAATCAGTCCCGAATTATTATTCTTTAAATTTCAATAAATAATTTAATCACTTTATTACAACAAATTGAATTGATAAATTTAATTATATCAAAAGATTTCAATAATTCAATAATAAATTTAGTTAATGAAATTTTACTTAGTGGGTTACATGAATCTATGAACTTCCTGCTCAGTCAATACTCGTGATAACACTAAAGACGAACAGACTTCATATTCTATATTCGTAAAGCATAATAATTCAAAGAAAAAAAAACCCAAATGTTATCTATCAGAAAATTAAGATTTTTTAGAAGAAAAAATCGTAACAAAGTTTCACCATCTACCATTTGATAACCTGACTCATTAAAAATGTGCATGAATAAATGCAAATGGATTTTTTTCTTATAAATAAAATGAAACCAATTCTATATTGTACATAATATGTACCAAAACATTAAAAACTCGATCTTTTCCTATAATGAACAAAACAAAACAAAATATTCAAGCACAGAAAAGGTTTTTTTTTTTCAAAAATGACTAAAACATGAATATGAATTGTTTTTCGACAAATGATTTTTGTTAAATGAAGATTCATTAGTTGGACACGTCCAATTATCATTTTACATTTTCTTTTTGGAAATAGAACCAAAAGTCCTCCTGAAACTAGAAACAAGATTTCTGATCCACAATGGTGAACTTGAAACCTTTCCTGCTATAATCTTCTACTGACTAATAGGACCATAACTTCATC